TCAGCTACCACTTGTTTCTTGAAGCACATACAGGGAAGACACTTCTAGACAGGACAATGGCTCCTCCTCCTCCTCCAACCCCCCCTCCTCCGAAGTTAGGGGGGAGACCCTTTCAATTTTTCTAGTCCAAGAAGATGTGATTTGTCTTGTTTATTTGTGTCTCTGTGCCTTACTAGACATGCTGAGAGCCAGCAAACATCAAGCATTTCCATACAGGCTTTCTGAAGAATACAGTCTCCAGCCAAAGACGCAGTGAATAGCAGTCAGGAGAAAAAGCACTTTACTTAAATTAATTTCTTAAACTGTTTTTATATGTACACATTAATTACTATTTTATGCCAGCAGAAAAGAAAGCACTCATTCCCCCCAAAACTTCAAGATCCATTTCCAAAGAACTAGTGTGAAAACAGTCAATCTGTTTTGGGGGAGGGGGTACCATAGATTAAGATTAATTATATTCTGTAACAACCTTTATTAATTTTTCTTCAATGTCATAATTATTCATTCTTGTCCATAACCATTCTGCCATTGCCTGAAGTGTTATAGTTGAAAATGTCAAGGATGATACCTTGAGTTAATCAACTCAGATTAAGTACCTTGATTTGTTTCCTTTCTATTTGTAGGATTAATAGTAGAAGCCCTAAGAGCCCTGATGCCTTTCTCTTTTTGTGGGCATTTCTGTACCTTGAATGTGTGGCAATTTAGCCATCACTAGGAGGCTGTAGAGCAAGGAGTGGCTTGTGCTTATTGTCCCAGCAACGAAGAGTCCAAATACAATAATCACAAGCTCTTCAGGAGTGTAGATAACCTCAGATGAGGAGTTCTGCTCCTAAAAGGAAACAGAGGTCGAAAAAGAAGAATAAAAATTCTACTTGGAATTGAGATAAAGCAGTTCATGAAGTTCTTCATACTGTCTCTTTCAGCTAAAGGAAACTTAATTCAACCATTAACCCACCTTTAGAATAGATAGAAAAGCTCTTCAATTCTAAGGTATATCTGGGATCAGCATTTCATGCAAGGGAAGAAACAGCTTGCCTCCTGGTCTACCTATCAAATGTTTACCACAAGTAATGGCCAAATTAAAGAACAGATACTCTGATTTTGACTAAGGTTGTTACTTAGAGTCGGGCTAAAGCAATTCCTAAGGTGTATGCTTGGAAGACAGAATTAAATCTGAATAGAATCTGAAATAGAAACTTGGATGTTACATCTCAGGGACTAATCCTAATAGAAATTGCTTCTACAAGATGATTCCAGGAAACTGCACTTAATTATCTTTATATCACCTATTGGGAGTATGGAAAACCTCTAAAGAAATAGCTTGTAAACAATTAGCTTGGAAAGCAAATTTCTATGCATACTCATTTTTTTTTTTTTAAGAAGGAGAATTCTGTCTTAGAAAATAGCAGCCTGAGTTTCTAATGCTTGGCCACGTTTGGAGAATAGTATAGACATCCTTAGCAACAAATGCCTGGAATTGGAATACATGCCAACAAATAGGCTATGAGGGGGGAGTCCCAGAGTAAAGAAAGAAGGTGGAGAATAAATAGCTTCATATTCATTCCTATGAGATGAACTAGGTTCATCTTAGATGCATATTAGAGAATACTCATGATACTTAGACAAGTATGAAGGAATGCTATATAGCCTACGTTCT